CCGGCTGGGGGTCGGGAGGGCGCGGGGAGGCCTTCAACGCACGCTGGGAGCAGCCACTGGGAGCAGCCACTGTTCAACTCCTCCCCTGTCGCACGTTTCGCTGCGTGCCCTGTCAGCTGCTTGCGTTGCCTTGGTCCACCCCTGTTTTATTGCTTTCTCTGCTTTGGCTCGGTTCCCGTCCCGTTTCGGCGGGGAGTCTATGATGCAGGCTAGTTCTTTCTTTACCCAGGGCAGACTTTAACCCCACACAAGCAACTACCCCAACACCTGCCTGTCTGCGCCCCACTCTCACCCTGCCACCCCTCTGCTGCCCCCTGCCGCCTCTGCAGAGCCTGCCGGGCGCCTGCTGCAGGGCGTCGGCTCGGCGTCCGCGAACAACGCCCGGGCCTCGAGCGACGGCAGCTCCGCCTCCGACCAGGCGGGGGTGAACGACGGCACCTCCTGCCTCATGGTGGACAAGGTGGGTGCGACGGCTTCAGAAAGTGCCGTTGCTGCTGCCCTTGCCCGCTGGCCCGAGCCATGCCCGGCGCCTACCAGCAGCTTGCCGTCTTGCGCCTTGTGCCCTGCAAGTTGCCCCTGAGCCTTGCTGAGGGATGCCCTCTACCCCCGAGGGTTTGCCGCGAGCCTGGCACCGACCCGGGCCCCCTCTTGCCTCCCTCCCCCCCCCACACCTCTGCAGCTGGTCGACGAAAGCTTGTTCAAAGGAGAAACCGACTTTGTCGCCCGCTATTTCGCCGCTCTCTTCCTCCAAGGTGCGGCCGCAGGGGTGCCCGCTCCCGTCCCGCCGGCTGTCTCCCCTCCTCCCCTCCTGTAGCTGCCCTCTTGTTGTGCAGCCTCACTACATGCCTTGCACACCGCTGCCTGCCCTCTCCCTGCTCGATGCTCGATAGCTCACAAAGCTGCCTGCCGCGTCCCGCCCTGCCGCGCCCCTGCAGGCGGCAATTGCTCGGGCCACGTTGCCGACGTTATCGCCTCCCGGTCTTCCCTTATTGGCTGCTCCGCGCTGACAACGCTCATGATTGATACCTCCGTGCTGACCGTGACGCACCAAGGTGCCTCTTCCCTTGCCAACACCCTCCCCAACTTCTCCAAGCTCGTGACTGCCCTGCGCGACTGCCTGAGCCCCCAGCAGGTGCGGAAGGTTTTGAAAGGGAGGGCACGGGGGTGGTGACCCGCGCCGATATGCCGCGCGCCACGCACGCTCCACCTCCTGCACCTTTGCCCCACCCTCGCCGATTTGCCCGCCCCTGCTTGCCTGCCTCCCTTGGCTTCCAGGTGTTTTGCTCCGTCACCCAGGGGCAGGTTTATGATGGGCCTGCTACCCCCTCCCCGGACGTGGGCGACGACGTTGATGAATGCAAAACGATTTCGAATGTGGGTGCGGCGGCTTTAGAAAGTGCCATTGTTGGTGCCCTCGCCAGCTGGCCTCCCCCGAGCCCGCCCGTGCCCGCACCTACCAGCATGCCGTTCTGCGCCATGGGCCTTGCAGGTTGCCCCTAAGCCTTGCAATGGCATGCCCTCTACCCCCCGAGGGTTTGCCGTGAGCCTGGCACCAACCCCTCTTGCCTCCCTCCTCCCACCCCACCCCTGTAGATGGTCACCGACAGCCTGAACAAAGGAGAAATCAACATTGCCGCCCGCCTCATCAGCTCCGTCTTCGTCCAGGGTGTGGCCGCAGGGGTGCCGCTCCCGTCCCGCTTGCTGCCTCCCCTCCTACAACTGCCCTCTTGTCATGCAGCCTCACTACAAGCCTTGCGCACCGTTGCCCGTCCTCTCCACACAAAGTTGCATGCCGCGCCCCGCCCTGCCCCGCCCTTTCCTGCCTGCCTCCCTTGGCTTGCACCCCTACAGGCGACAAATGCGCGGGCTACCTGGCCGACACCATCTCCGTCGGCAACAACGCTCTGGGCTGCTCCAATCTGATGCAAGCCTTGTCTGGGGCCTACTCTGTGGCCTACTCGAACGACCGGGGCTCCGCCTTTGCCAGCATCATCTCCGGCCTCTCCACATTGGTGGCCACCGTGCGTGCCTGCCTTAGTCCCCAACAGGTGTGGAGGGTTTTGAAAGGGATGGCACGGGGTGGTGACTCGCGCCGAGATGCCGTCCGCCACACATGCTCAACCTCCTACACCTTTGCCCCAGCCTCGCCGACGTGCCCACCCCCCCTGCCTGCCTGCCTCCCTTGGCTTGTTGTAGGTGGCGTGCTTCGCCACCCTGAAGCTGGCCTAGGGTTAGATGGAGTCTGGTATCCCCTCCCCGAGCCCCTCTCCCTCCCCAACCTCTCCCCAAGCCCCTCCCCGTCTGGCAGCTCCGCCGCCGCCGCTGCCCGTGCCGAGACCAACGCCGGCGGCCGCTGAGCTCCCCAGCTTGGCGGCCCGTTGCACCCCTAAAGGCAAGCAGTTCCAGGAACCCGTCTCTACCTACCCACCTCTTGACCGCTGATGTCCCTTGCTTTGCCGCCCGGGCCCGCGTTGCAACCTGCTTCCTAAGCGCTGACCTGTATAGTGATGCCACTGCTTGTGAACGCCTGTGTAAAATTTACGACTTCACACAAAACAACCCATCGACACGGGCCTATGCCCGCCACAAGAGGAGCAGGGGGCGGCCTGCCTAGTGTGTCCGCTTGGCGGAGGAGCCGCGACGGGGGCTCTTGCAGCGTGCCTGCCGGCTGGCTGGGTGTCTGCAGCCCCCCCAACGGCGGCGTGTCCTGCCTCCTGCCCCCTCCTGCCCCTTGTGCCGACCTGCGAGAGGCCGCCAACACGCCGGCCGGCACAGACGCAGCAGGCCCCTCCTGGTTGGTTGCCCAGCTCAGCTCTGGCGGGCAGGGTTCTTACAACAAAGAGGGCCTCACGGCAGTAACAGAACAACAAGCGCCAAACAAAAGCTGGCGGTGCACACCGTGACACCCAGCTCAGGTGTAGAACAAATCCTGCCAGCTGGGCAGGCCCAGGGAGCGGGCGAGGCGGGTGACACGCCAGAAGTTCAGCCGGTTGAGCACACGCCGCAGGCGGCTCGGCGACAGCACAACGTGCAACCGCCGCAGCGCAACAGGCCGCTGCTTGAACAATTGGTGCACGGTACCGGCCCCACCATTCGTCCAGCACGTACATCCGCCGGCCTCAGGCCGCAGCCTCGGTCTGGCGAGGAGGCGCAAGATCGACAGGAGGAAGGCAATTGGTTGGTAGGTGGTGGTCGCTTGAAATGCAAACACAACACAGCCATGCGGCCAAAGCACCCCATTCTGCCAGCTGGTCTGCCAACAAGAGCCAGCTGCCGGCTGGGTTGTCACGGGCGGGTGGTCCCACAACGCACAACTGCTGTTGCAAGCCCGACCGGGGCCATGCGCTTTGCCCGCTGTCTACATGTTACAGTCACCCCGCTATGATAGGCCGCGTGAGCAGACCTTGGGCAGGGGGCACACGTGATCAAGGGGCATCAAGAGAGGGGGTGTACCATGGAGCACCCTCTCCATGGCTCCGACCGCCCTCCCCCCAGCTGAGCGTCCCAGGGTCACCCCACCCTGGCCCCGTTCCCCGTCCTGCCGGACACGCAACCCCCACAACGTGGTGGGGGACGTGGGGACCCTTAGCAGCTTAGGCCTGCCAGGCCGACGGGTGCCGATGCAGGTGCGGGCTCCCGGCGGCAGGCAGCGCCGCCGCCGGGAACTCAAATGGCATGGGGCACACGGGCCCCCATGCCCGCACATCTCCCAGGCACATGAAAATACCAGAAGGCTGCACATGTAAGGGTGCATGCACTGCAGGCAGGAGTGCAAAGTGGCCTGTGGCGGCGGTGGGCTGTGCCATTACTCAGTCAGCCGCCGCTATGTGCCGGGCTTGGCGTTCCCATGCCAACATGCCGGCGTGCCATCGCGCAGGGGCCAGTGAGTGTGTGAGGTGGAGGTGGGGGTGGTGGGGCTGCCGCTGACCTTTGCTTGCTGACGCTGACGCTGCTCCTACCTGCGGGGGGAGGGGGTGGGTCGGGAGCCAAGGCCGGGCAAAAGATGCCTGGGCTCTATTCAAGGACCGAGGGACTCACTGTGCCAGGGCAGCAGCGTGCTCCTCATGGCACCCGGTCGGCTCCTCATGGCACTGGTCGTGACTGGAATTGCCTCGCATGCTTGATCCAGTACGTGTGGCGGCTGCACATGAGCGGGGAGGTTGGCTTGTGGCCGCGCAGGACTCAGCCGCCTCCCACCTTCCCCTCACTGCTAGCCAGCACTACCCCGCACCCATTCTGTTAGGATGGCATCCTGTTGGATGAGGTCAGGAAATCCAGCAGCTCGTGTGTCCGCCGCCACATGGCTGCGGCTGTCGGCGGCGGCGCTTGTGCTGCTCGGCGGCGGAACGCTCGCCTCGAGCCGAGCATCGCTGCCAGAGTGGCCCTTGCGCCAGCTGCTGGGGCAGGGCAATGAAACAGGTGCAGGATTGGCGTCGCTTCTGGTGCTGTTTTCCGTGCTAGTTGACCACTCCTCCAGGCATGCACACTCCTCCAGGCATGCACTCCTCCAGGCATGCACATGCATGTGTGAGCCTCGATTTCCCTTCTGCCCTGCAGTTTCCATTGCCGGCCTGCGCCTGGTGGGCGGCCCAGATGGCTTCTCAGGGCGGCTGGAGGTGCTGGTGGACGGCAGCTGGGGCACGGTGTGCAGCGGGTCGCTGAATGGCGCAACCGCTCGAGTGATCTGCCGCCTGCTGGCTTACAACGGCGGCGCAGTGCGCAGCAGCTCAGCCTACGGCTGGAGCGACAGCCTGCCCATCCATTTGGCTGCGGTGGGCTGCACAGGCGAGGAGGCAGGGCTGGCCAGCTGCCAGCTTACACCCAACCAGCGCAGCGCACCGGCCTGCGGGCCCGCAGACGCCGCCGGCATCGACTGCAGCGGCAGCGGTGAGCGCGCTTTAGGCACTGCTCGTTTCAGGGCTTGCCGGCATCGCCGCGCTCACCAACATGTTGCATCTGCTCTATTCGCTGCTGCCGATGCCACGCCCAGCCCAGCCGCCTGCTGAGACGCCTGCTGCCCCTGCTTCCGCTGCTGCTGCAGGCATTATCGCCGCGGTGCGGCTGGTGGCCGGCCCCAGCAACACCCGGGGCCTGCTGGAGGTGCAGGTGAATGGGACGTGGGGAACCGTGTGCAGCGAGGGCTTCACCTCGTGGGATACCGACACGGTGTGCCGCCAGCTGGGCACCCCGCACGGCGGCTATGTGGACACCTGCCCCGAGTGCGGCCCCGGCACCCCCCTGCTGGCGGGCGGCGTGGTGTGCGGCGCCGACGACGCCAGCCTGGAGAGCTGCGGCTACGTGGCCATTGACGCACTCGGCACCGAAGTTGCCGGTGGCGGCAACGGCAACGGCACCGCGACGGCGACCGGCAGCACCTTGTGCCAGCGCTTCGCTGTAGCGTTGGGGGAGACTTGGGCGGTGGTCATCACCTGCCACGACGCGCGCAGGGGCTATAACGGCCAGGGTTCCCACACCAGCACCATCGTGGGCGGGGTCATGGCGGTACTGGTCGCCATCATGGCGGGTGCGCTGCGAACGGTTGGTGCTTGCAGGGCAGGGCTGATGAGGAAGGCCTGGGCAGGGGGCCCATGAAGCAGGCGTTGCTTGATGCACAGCAGTTGCGGGACTGGGGGCTGTTGCTTTTGTTGTGTGCCAGCAAACCTGGCTCCCCCCTCTGCCTCGCCCCGCTGCTGTTGCAGCGGTGGTGTGCTACTACAGCGGCACCTGGCACCGCATGAGGGGGCGGCAGCCGCCGTTCCGGCGGCCACGGCGGTCGGCGGGTGCAGGCGATGGAGGCAGCAGCCCGGCGGGGGAGTCGTCCCGCAGGGCCAGCAGCGTGGACTGCGAAGTGGAGCTGGCTGCCAGCAAGGCCCAAATCCGCTACGTGACCGTCATCGGGCCAGATGGAGGTTTCACTCACGTGGTGGCAGAGGTGCCGCCGCCCGAGCCAGAGGAGGCAGAGCCAGGATCGAAGAGCGAAGCGCCTTAGCGCGTGTGCTCACTGGATCGGTTGTTTTCCTGTACACATTCATTTCAACCCCTTCACAGAATGCAGGTTGCATCCGCTGGCCTCGCAATGCTATTCCTGACGGGCCTCGCCCCCTCCTCCTGCCGGTGCCGCCGCCTCCATAATATGCCGTGGCGTTTGTTTTGTACCATGGGCGTTGCGCATGTACACTTCGTATTCGTTGCTCAATTCTTCACTATGTTTTGCATTATTTGAATGCTCTGCACGCTACCTGTTAGTACCTGCTCACCTGGCATGCCATGGCCGCACGTCGCGCCGTGCCGACACAGCTGTGGGTGCAGACACAGCCCATCGCCAAGGAGCTATGTGTGGAATTCGGTTGCAATGGTGCTCCCGCCTGTGGAATGCCTGCACCGCCTGCCCAGCTGTAGCCGCACCCGGTTCCTGGGAGCGGGCTTGTTCGAGTGAGAATGCTTACAGGACCTGCTCTTCCACGGCTAAAGTACACAGTCAAGCGAAGTGGAAAGCGGCTCATGATGCAAGGCTGACAAGCCTCAGAATAGGGAATAGCATCATAGCGATCAATCATAAGGTAACCAGGAAGCGGGAAAACGCAAGGCAGGGAGCCGGCTCAGGCTCCTGCTACAACTCTCCCCCCCTTAAAAGAGAGGCACACCTGCCTCTTCAAAGAACGAAGAGAACAGAGGGGAACAGAGGATGCGGAAACAAAGAGGAAAACAAAGACAGAAAACTGGGGGAATGGAGGAGGAAAGACAGGTGGGGTAATGCAAGGAAAAGAGGTGGTAGCGAGAGCGGGGGGCTCTGCTGCCCGAGGCATCCAGGTGCCAGGCTGCAGAACACCTCTCGCCAGAGCCAAATTACCGGCACATACACCACACTGTTAAAACTCACAGCAGGGGCGCGGTCACGGCAGAAGTTTGTAGAGTTCACGGTAGCGCCGGGTATCGCCAGTGGCGGCGATGCACCAATGCCGCAGCTCGGCTTCAGTATGCCAGCTATCCTGCCGATCCGCGTCCCGCCATTTCACCAGTACCGTCTTGTCACGTCCTCGAGCAACAAAATGCAACACTTGCTCAAACTCAGGCTCCTCTGAGCTCAGTTCCATTTTGAAGTGTCGGCCGTCTGGAGTGTCGGCCGTCTGCCGAGCAGGGAACTCTGCGCTGCCGTCGATGTAAGGGCGCAAGCGCGACACGTTGATCACAGGGTGCCCACGCCAGTCTTTTGGGAAGCCTGACAGGCGCACCGCAGTCGGGGAGACGATCTCAACCACCGTGAGACCTCTCTCATCAGTGCCACCGTAGAATTTGGGCAGCAACTTGCGGGCTGGGCCCGTCGTGCCAAAGCCCAGGTGCTTAGTCTCCATCAGCACTCGGTCATCCACAGCAAAAGTGTGTTCCTTCCTGTGCAGGTTGGCATGGGCAGTCTGCACAGCCTTGGCACGGTCCAGGTTCTGTTTGGCGTTGCCCCACGCACGCCGCAGCGCCGCCACAAAGGAGTCGGCGTCTGGGCTCCGGCTGGCAGCTGGAAGGGGCACATCACTCAGCAGCGTCGCAGGGGTGCGAGGGTGCCGTCCAGTGTTCAGGTAGAAGGGGGTGAACTGCGAGCTGCTATGTAGTGAGTTGTTGTATGCAAACTCAGCAGCACACAACAATTCATCCCAGTTCTGCTGCTCAGTGTCGACGAAGGCGCGCAGCATCTCCTCCAGAGTGCGGTTGGCGCGCTCGGTCTGCCCATCTGTCTGTGGGTGGTAGGCCGTCGACAGGTGCAGGCGCGTGCCCAGCAGCCGCTGCAGCGAGCGCCAGAAGACACCCACAAATCTGCTGTCCCGGTCTGACACAATGCCAGAGGGGAGGCTGGTTCCGGGTCTTAGTGCGTTGGCAGACCGCACAGCTCCGCACATAAGTAGTCACATCCTTGGCCAAACCAGGCCAGTAGAAGCGCCGTGCCAGCACTTCCAAAGTTTTGTCGCGTCCCAAGTGGCCAGCGACCGGAGCATCGTGGTGCTCGGCCAGCAGCCGCTGCCGCAGGGAGTGCGCAGATGGGGGCAGCCCAGCAGGGGCGGGCACATACAGCCGCAAATCCTGCCCCTCTCCCTCCCTAAAGAAGAGGAGGCCCTGGTGGGACTCCCACTGCTGCCAGCTTGGCTCGGGGGCGCTGGCGTCGACAGCACCAGAGGGGCCAGGGCTGGGGGCGGGGACCGCAGGGACGCCCGCCTCAGTCGCAGTGACACGCGCAGCCGCAGCCTCCTCAGCCGCCGCAACAGCAGCCAAGCCCCCGCACGCAACAGGATCCAGGGCGTACGAGACCCGCAGCTCCGCAAAGAAGGAATCCGGGGTGTGAGACACTGCCAGCGCCGACAGGTGCAGGCCAGCGGTCTCCACAGCAGCCGTGTGGACCGCCAGTGCTGCCGCGTGAGCCGGCGAGCAGCACAACTTGGTCCGCAGGGAGGAGAACGCCGCCGTCACCCGTGGCGCTCGTGCCCGGGAGCGCCGACTCCGCGCTGGGTTGCGGGAGAGCGCATCAGCCACCACATTGTACCGGCCGGGGGTGTAGGTCAACCGCAGGCGGGGGTACTGCTGCAAGAAGAATGCCCACCGTTGTTGCCGCGGCGAAAAGTGCACGCTCTTCTGGTTATAGAACTGCAGCGAGTGGTGGTCTGTGTACACCGTCAGCTCCACATCCAGCAGGTAGTGTCTCCACGTCTTCAGAGCTCTCACCACTGCCAGCATCTCCTTGTCATGCACTGGGTAGTTCTGCTCAGCGGGGGAGTAGCCCCTGCTCTCATAAGCAACGGGTTGCAGCCCGCTGCCAAAGTCCTGCATTAGGCAGGCCCCGGTGCCGCCATACTCAGAGGCGTCGCAGTAGACCACTGCCGGCCTGCCTGGGTCAAACACACTCAGCAAGGGGGCCGAGGTCAGCGCGTCCTTCAGCTGCTGGAAAGCACGCTGGTGCGCCGCTGTCCACACAAAGGCAGTGCCTTTCTTCTCCAGGTCTCGCAACGGCTTGGAGATGTGGGACAGGTGAGGGATGAAGCGGCGGTAAAACCCAACCATCCCCATGAACTGCTTGATTTCTGTGGGGGTGCGGGGCGGGAGCAGCTCCTGCACCGCCAGCACCTTGTTGTGTACCGGCCGCACGCCGTCGGCAGAGACCACATGCCCCAGGTACTCCAGCTTAGTGCAGAAGAATTCACACTTGCTCTCCTTGGCATACAGCTGGAACTGCTTCAGCCTGTGGAACACCTGGGCCAGGTGCTGCTTGTGCTCCCCCTCAGACCGGGAGAACACCAAAATGTCATCCAGGTACACCACGCAGTACGCTGCCATGTCGGGAGTGATCACATGATTCAGCAGCGTCTGAAACTTTGCAGGGGCGGCGGTCAGGCCAAAACCCATCACCACCCACTCCCACAGCCCATACCGGCCGCAGTTCATGGCCGTCTTGTGGACGTGCGCCGGGTCCATCAGCAGCTGGTGGTAGCCATTGGCCAGGTCCAGCTTGCTCAGCACCTTGGCACCCAGCAGCTGATCCAGCGTCTCGTCAATCCGGGGCAAGGGGTGTGCATTCTTGATGGTCTGCTGGTTGAGCATACGCCAGTCAACACAAAGCCGCTTGGCGCCGCCCTTCTTGGTCACAAACAGCACAGGTGCACCATAGGGAGAGGAGGAGGCACGAATGAATCCCTTCGTCTGCAGCTCAGCCAGCTGCCGCCTCAACTCCTCCAGATCTGCCGCCGACATCCGATAGGCCGGGCGCATGACGGGCCGTACACCAGGCTCCTCGTCAATGGTAAAGTTAAATCTGCCGCGGTCAGGAGGGAGAGAGGGGATGTCCTCCACCAGGCGGTCAGCGTAGGTGGCCAGCAGCTTCTCCCTGCTGAGACCAGCTGCCTTCCGCAGCTCCGCCGAAGTCAGGAAAGTAGTGGGGCCCGCCCCGGGGATGCCGGTGGAGCGAGCGCCGCCTGCAGCCTGAGGTACTGGGCTGCAGGTGGGCGCTGGCGCGTCTGCCGGCGGGGCGCCTGCCATTGTGGCGGCGGACAGCCCTGCCGTGGTGGCGCCATACGCTGCCGGGTCCTTGAGCCCTCTAGGCAGCACAAAATTCATGCTCTCAATCTCCCCTGCCGTGAAGGCAGCATCCACCTCGGCTGCCGTCAACAGGCACGTCGGCGTGTTATAGTCGGTATCCGGCTCCAGGGTGTGGTGCCGCCCCGTCAGGCCCTGAAACTGCACAGTTCGGGCCCTGTAATCCGTGGCCACCCTGTACGTGGCTAGCCAGTCAGCACCCAAGACTGCATCCATGCCGACCAGAGGTGTCAGCAAAAACTGCAGGTGGTCGGTGTACTGCCCAATCTGGACAAAGCACTGCACACTTTGCAGCAGTGGGCGCTGCCGGCCATCAGCCAGCGTCACCGATGCGGCTCCGCCCTCATACGGCTGAGGGGTCAGCTGCAATTCCTCGGCGACTGCTGGGTCCATGAAGCAGAGGTCGGCACCGCCATCCACCAGCAAGGTGCCTCTCCTATCCTGGAGGAGACCAATCAGCTTCATCACCCGCCCTGGCGCCTGCCGCTGTGCCGAGCGGATGGCGTTCAGGGTTACTCCCCTGTCGGGGAATGGCTGCCTGCCTGCTGCCATTTCCATGAGCAGGGAATTTACTTGCTGGCAGTAGGGCTCAGGGCATTCCAGCCATTCCTTGTACATTAACAGTACATCAAAGGGGTCCGTCCCGGTCTGGTGGGGGTTGTGGCAGTCAGCGGCGGCGTCTCCGACCTCGCCGCCACCCGCGCCGCCAACGCCCATCTGGTTGCTTTGGGCTTCACATTGGTTCCGTTGGTTGCCCAAGCAGGGACTGATCAGGTCCCCTGGGACATGCCCCGTTGTGATTGTACTAGCCGTCAGCACAGTGCCCTCCTCACATACCGAGGAGGTCCCTCCCTCATCCGGGGAGGCGTCAGCTGGGACCGCATCCGCCAGCTGGCACTCCGTGTTACCGTGTGCACACCCACTCCCGGGACCCTCAGCAATCTCTGCTGGGGTGGGGGCAAGTGCTGCAGTCACTTGGCCCCTGTGCTGGGTGGATTGCCCGACCGCACACTCAGCACTGGGCGGCAACGCGCTGCCCGGTGCTGCCTCCACAGGTACATTTTGTGAAGGTACCTCAGAGCGGGGGTCTGCTCCAGGCTGGCTAGCATGGCTCTCCTCCCCCGTCTCGGCATGTGCCTCCTCTCCTGCGCGCGCAACGGGGGCGCCACCTGGCGCTCCCGCGGAGGCACTTGCCCGGCCAGGGCTGTAACCGCCCTGGACCCTGCTCAAATCCGTTGTCCTTTCCAAGCTCCGGCTGTGCCCAGCATCACAGCCCTCCTCCCTTGCAGCTGGATCTGCTGCCCCTGGGTTCAGTTGAAACGCCCTGGCGGACCAGCCAGGGGTGCAGGTGGGTCGTCCACCCCTTGTTGCTGCTCGCCCTGTGGGCCGCTCGACCCTGTGCTGTCAGCCAGGGCCCAGTGCTGGGGCGGGGGGCGCAGCCGGAGGCAACTCATCACCAGTGCCAGTTCCTGCGCCGCCGCCGCCAACGGGTAGTATTGTCGTTCCTGTGGGCGCAGCCGAATCCAGCTCGCCACCTGTGCGTGAACCTGCACCATCACTGCCCGGGTCGGGCGACTCTCCATCCGCCCGGGGATCAGTGCCACTCTCCATGGCAGCTGATTATCTCTAGGCCAGAGTACCGTGAAGCAAACTCAGTTAAACAGCCGTGCAACTACTGCAAGTACCAATCAATGCTCATAAAGCTGCCAGCGACTGGTCCAGCTGGGCGGCCAGCGTCCCCCTGTCGGCGCCGGGGTCCTGGGCCGGGTCGGCTGCGACAGGCGTGGGTCCGTAGGCCAGCACCACGTCCATGGCGTCAGCGCCCCTTTACAAGGCGCGGAGAATTGCTCGCGTCGTGGGTGGGATGCGTCTGGATGCTGGTAGATCCTTCCGACCCTTCCAAGCACAAGGCTAGTCTCCCAGGGCTTCTAGTGGCGCTCAAAGCAGCCCAGTGGCGCGTAAAGCAGCCCAGTGGCGCTTAAAGCAGCCCGGTGGCGCTCAGAGCAGCCCGATTGCTAGTGATGGCCTGCATGCATAACCGGCAAGCCCCTGCCGGCTCCCCCAGCTATGTCCCCAACCCCTACCCCCGGGCACAGGCACGAGCTAGGCGCTTACTCGCGCATGGCACACACCTGAGCCATGTGAGTTATCTCGCGCTGCAGCAGTGCAGCACGACTGTTTCTCGGATGTCCCCCCAATTGTAGCCGCACCCGGTTCCTGGGAGCGGGCTTGTTCGAGTGAGAATGCTTACAGGACCAGCTCTTCCACGGCTAAAGTACACAGTCAAGCGAAGTGGAAAGCGGCTCATGATGCAAGGCTGACAAGCCTCAGAATAGGGAATAGCATCATAGCGATCAATCATAAGGTAACCAGGAAGCGGGAAAACGCAAGGCAGGGAGCCGGCTCAGGCTCCTGCTACACCAGCTGCGCCGGCGGCGGGTGCGGTCACTGCACGGGGGTGATCAGTGGGACCTCTTTGCATATTACCCGTGCCATGGGTCGTGCGTGATTGATTGGAGCCGTCGAAGGGCTGAGATAATCCAATATTCATGTTCGGCAGTACTTGTCTCTCAAGGACAAGAAAGCCAGGCACCTCCCGGGCCGTCCATGCATTCATTGAGGGCCCTGCTGATTGCCTGCCGCGCCCCGTCGATCGCCCAGTTCAGGTCTCTGTGCAACCGCAACAGCAGGGGCGGGCAGCAGTGGGCAGCGGTGGTGGCTACCGGGCGAGTGACATTCAGCATGTCTACCACGTCCGGGCCCAGCAAGCGCAAGGTGCGGCAGCTACCTGCAGCCTTGTGATGACAGCCCACGCGCGTGCTCAAAGCTTGCTGCACCGCACAAGCGCTGGGAAGGGTGGCTGAGAATTGGGAACTGGGTGGGAGCGGTGCCTGGAGCAAGCTGCCCGCCCAGATCGTCCGCCGCGCCCTGCGCCCGAGCACCAGGGCTGCAAGGGCCGCCCTGGCACACAGCATGGAGTTGTTGTGGGTCTAGGATGCGTGTCGCCTGCAGCAGACCGGCTCTCAACCCGCGGCCGCCGCCGGGTGGATGGCACCCCCGCCGCCGCCTCCCTGCGTTGTGCCCACCCCTCTCTCACCATGCCCCGCCCCCTTCCAATCACAGGGCGGGTCGGAGATGACGGGGGAGGAGCGGCCGGCCATCAAGGCCAAGCCGCGGGTGGAGAAGAACCGCGTGCTTGTGACGGGTGGCGCGGGCTTTGTGGGGTCGCACCTGTGTGATTACCTTGTGGCACGCGGCGACCACGTGCGTGTGCCTGCTGCTGGACGCCGGCTCTGCTGGCTGCCTGCCTGCTGCCGGCTGCCACTGTCTGCGCGCGGCTGCTCCGCAGTGTCGCTGCCTGGTGCAAGTGCTCGGTGCCTTGCTTCTCATGCCGCGCGCCGACGCGAGCGCACCACGGACGGCGAGCAGGCAGTTGGGGCGGTTGGCATCACCTGCTGCCGCTCCTGGCCGCCGCGCATTCTGACCTGGTCTCTACCCAATGCCCCGGCCCCTGCAGCTCCCTTTATTGTCAGTCCCCCCCCATTCCGCATCGCAGCAGCCACCCCACCCCCTCCGCCTTCTTTCCACCCCCGCAGGTCATCTGCATGGACAACTTCTTCACCGGCTCCAAGGACAACATCGCCCACCTGCTGGACCGCGAGAACTTCGAGCTGATCCGGCACGACGTGGTGGAGCCGATACTGCTGGAGGTGGACCAGATCTTCCACCTGGCATGCCCCGCCTCGCCCGTGCACTACAAGTGCGCGGCGTGTGGGTGATGCGGGGAGGGGAGGGGGGAGCGAGAGGGAGGAAGGAGGCATGCAGGGGCTTGTTTGTGGATGGGCCGGCCGGGGCACCAGCTGCCCCGTCCCGCTGGCTCCTACCTGCACCACGGCCACGCCCGAGCCCCTGCATTTACATGAAACCCTGTACTGCCTGTACCGGCTTCGCCCGCCTGCGTGCCTGCAGGTACAACCCCATCAAGACCATCAAGACCTCCTTCATCGGCACCATGAACATGCTGGGGCTGGCCAAGCGCTGCCGCGCCCGCTTCCTCATCTCCTCCACCTCGGAAGTGTACGGAGACCCGCTGCAGCACCCGCAGGTGGGGGCGGGCGTGTGGGTGGCTTGGGGCGGTGTCGGGGGCAGGGGAGCGTAGGGGACGGGGCAGGGGGAAGGGAAGAGGCAAGTGGCAGGGCAGGAGCAAGGCAGGCGGTGCCAGGGAGCAGGAGGTGGCGGCGGCGCCATACTGGCATGCCTGGGCCGTCCTCGCGCTGCCCGTGCCGCCGCCACCCAGCCGTGCCCCCACGCCCCCGCCTTACTGCACCACACCGCACCGCACAGACGGAGGAGTACTGGGGCAACGTGAACCCCATCGGCGAGCGCAGCTGCTACGACGAGGGCAAGCGCGCGGCGGAGTGCCTGACCATGGACTACCACCGGGAGCACGGGCAGGAGGTGGGCGGCTGCCTTGGGCCCTGGTTGTGTGTGTGTAGTGGTGGCGATGTGTGTGTGGTTGGGGTGGCGGCCTGGGCGCACCGGGGTGTGAAGGCCAGCTGCCGCGGGTGCTGCCGCGTGCGCGAGCAGCGCGCCGCGCCCGGCCTCTGCCAACCGCCCAGCCCCGCTCTGCTTCTATCGTGCACGCTGCCAGCGCACCTCACATCATGCCCATGGCTGTGCACGCACCCCACACCCCACACACACCACACCACACACACCACACACGCACACGCGCCTCCCTCCACCCGCCCTCATGCAGGTGCGCATCGTGCGCATCTTCAACACCTATGGGCCCCGCATGGCGCTAGACGACGGACGCGTGGTGTCCAACTTTGTGTCGCAGGTGGGGTGGGCGGCGGCTGCTGGCGCGGCTGCCTGCCCCTGGGCACAGCTGGGTGTGGCTCAGGCTCCACTCCCCGGAAGGGCTGCGGGGCAGGGCGAGGCTGGAGGAGGTGCAGCGATGGTCCGCCATGTCAGCCACAACAGGCCGCATCACTCTCCGGCACCCGGCACCACACCAACCACCCCACGCCTGCCGCGCCCTGCCCGCCTGCCTCGCACCCAAGCAGGCTCTGAAGAACGAGCCGCTGACGCTGTTTGGGGACGGCAAGCAGACCCGCTCCTTCCAGTATGTGTCAGACCTGATTGAGGGTGAGGCAGAGGGGGGTGCGGGGTTTGCAACACTGGTGGTGTGGGCGCGGGTGGGGGGCTGGGGCGGGGCCAGCTCAGGGCGAGGGCCGCGGCGCTGCTGGGCCAGGCGGCGGCGGCATGTGGCTCTGGTGGCCACGGCCTGCTGGCATCCAGGGGCTACCTCC